TGACAGCATGAATTGATCAATTACACAACACACCTATTAAGTGACTTGTGAGTGGTAATAAAGGATTTGATATAGATGTTAAGACAAGTTTAGTAAGTAATGTAAAATTTATGTTGCTTTGAACATGATTTTAACAGAGTTAGTCTAGTTATAATCTCCTCTGAGTTATTCAGTGTTCTATGTCATGGACAACTTCAAATATAACTTTCCAGTAAAGGCATCTGTCTGTTGTTGGCATAAAGATTTTTCATTGTGACTGTACATTTGTGCTCGGTCTATATTTCTCTTGAGCTTAGAGAATAAAATCTTGATGAATCCCTTGTTATTTTGTGGATCTGTCTTACAACTCTTAGAGAAAGTCAGTACTATCAGAAAATAACACAGAGCACAGAGTAGATAAAAAGGAGAAATTTTTGGTGCTACAACCATGGGATATCTTATTGTTGAGTTTTTTGTGATGTGTGTGTTGCCCTTTACTTAAATTGTTATGTGTTTAAGTTTACCTTGTATTCTATATCTTTGCTTTTTACCAACTCAGTTATTCAGAAAATACAGAATTATTTCACAATAAATATCTTGACAAATCTTCTGTTATTAAGCATACTGTTACGACGGCAGAAGTTAGGTGATGCTGCTGGCACATGCATGACTGAATTTCTCGAATTATCGGGGAACCCCGCAAATTTTGGAGAAGCCTCTTTGTTAGTACATAAACCTGGCAAGAAAAGCCAGTGGGATTGAATGTATGGTTAAGCAAACAGTAGTCACGGTGAGTTTCGGGTAATTTATGATTCTGTTTCGAGCTAGTGTGTGTTTTGCACTCAAAGAGAGCAAAATTATTGAGATTGTGAATCGCTGTGATTTATAGCGTGTATTATAAAAGTTGTTAGTTTAAAGTGACGAGAAACATACTGACTGTGGAATTACTGTGTACTAAAAGTTTGTATCGAGAAAGAATAAACTGGTTTAATCAGGAAACGACTTGTATCGCTGAAGTTCCTCGGAAAGAATTTGTACCAGAAATTAACAAACAAGCAGATGCATAACAATACCTATTTTGGCACTCTTAGGAGAAATCATTTGCATCTGAAAATGCCATTGACATTTCACTTTTTCAAAGCTTCCTTAGTTGGTAAAAGAGAATACATTGGTTTTTACTATCATCTTTTATTATTACTATAACTTCAAAGTTTAAATTATACAAAGTTATTTTGTGTCTTGCATTTCTGAAACCATAGTAGTATTAATTTATTTTTTTTTAGATGTAACATTCTAATTACTATTTTAAA